GGTTGGAGGCGACCGGAGTTTGATATGTAGTGCGAGTTTGGACGGAGAAATAAGAGTTTGGAGGGTTGCGCTTCGTAAAATGTGACGCTTTGATGTTTCGATCGATGCCGTTGATTTTGCTTACTTTTGATTCCATCAATAAATTTGTCCATCGCTAAAATGCACATTTCTGTAGTTTGGGGATTGAAATATTTGCTTGTAAAGATTAATTCATATAGACAAATATGCACATTTACCTAATCTATTACTAACCAACAATATGCAATAGTTTTTCTTTTTAAAAGTACTAAACAATTTTCTTTTCTTTTTAAGTCAATATAAACTTAACTTATCGGTAATTAGTACCTCTGGCTGATAAGAGGTCATGAGTTTGAATTCCTCTATCTCACTTGTTGTATTAAAAAATAGTTTTTCTTTTTAGGAACAAAAGACTTATGCAATAGTCTTGTTTTAGGAAAAAAATGGAAAAAGTTTTAAAATAATGTAATTAAATAAAAAAAATTCTAAAATTGAGAAATTTTAAAATAAATATTTTTAAAATGTAGTTTCATTTAATATATATTAAAGTACTTTTCAAAGTGATTATAGAAGTGGAGTAGTTTTTGTCGCACAAAATAATTGGTAAAGACACGTAAATCATGCCACATATAATAGAAAGTGAGAACAGAAGATAATAAAGAGAAAGAGAAAGAGAGAAAAATGAGGAGGACGAGAGAACGAGGAGGCGAGAAAAGAGAATGAAAATATTTGGTTAATCAACAATGAGATGAAGCTTGTGTTACTTGCCATTAAATGTTTAACAATTAAAATAGAGAGATGCAAAAACATAAATTTTTTAAAATAATAATTAGTTGTCAAATATTTAATGTTGAATATCAAAGTGAGCATATTTTAGCGGTAATTGACATATACCTCGAATCAAGAGGTTGTGAATTCGAATCCACTCCCCCAACATGTTGTACTAAAAAATATATATATTTAATGTTGAATAGGACAAGGTTCATCATTACTAGATGCCACAGTAATTGTATGAAATATTTTATTCATTTTAGGAGATCATGTAAATTTTATCATTATTATTATTATTATTTTAGTACAACGTATGTGAATGAAGATTCGAACTCATGACATTTTAAGTCTTAATTTGAGATATATGACAAACTACGGACAAAAACATAACAAATCAAAGGAATGATGCATCTTTCCTAAAATTTCCACAATTTATCAAACTACTTTTGTCATTAATTTCAAAACTATCAAGTTCTATTTTTTCTTCTAAGATTACATTATTAAAAAAAAAAATCCTCATCTACCTTCTAGAAAATAAAAATAAAAATATAAAAATTATTAATTAAAAAGTAAAAATCTTGACACGCGGGAGAGATTTTTTGGTTGCATGCCTTATATTTGGGCCGAAGGGGAAGTCCAAAATCCAAATAGACGGCAGAAAAGTCATAAGCCCAACAGGATGCATAGAAAAGCTAAAACTAGCGGCAAGGCAATCAGAAAACAAATCAGAACTATTGGTGTGGGCAAGTTGAAATTTGAAAGTTGCTTGTGGCGGTGTCGTAGTCGCCGGTTTCGTTCCCTATGGAAGAGAGCGCATTCGATCATGTAATTCCTTCATTTCCATCATTAATCGTTTGCACTGAAGTTCAATTCGTTGGTTGTTTGTTCTGTTAAATGTCCACGATGTTTGTGTTTACCATTTTCATCTGTTTGTTTGTGTAATTGATAGGATCTAATCCACGCCATTTTCAAGCTCGAGTGGAGCAGGAGATCACTTGGTTCGAACTCACTCTCTCGTTCTTGCTATCTTTCTTCTCTCATTTTTCCATTCTCCCTGTTTCCTCTCCTTTCCCGATGATTTCTTACATTCCGATTTGGTTGCTCACATTGCTGCAGAGCGCGAGAGAAATGAGAGTTCTGATGCTATGGATTGCGAGGTGATTTCCCTTCCCAGAGTTTCTCGCGAAAATTTCTGTTTAGTCGCTATTGTTTTCTTTTGTGAAAATGTTGGTTTCAATTTTGCGTTCCGATGTCAGCGGTGCTAGGGTAATTCCTAGAGTGCTCAAGTTAGTTCTTGAAGTTATCACGAGTCCACTAATATAGTGCACAATTCTACTACCAAACGTATGCAAATGTCAGAAGTATATATGCAGAGATTGGATATGTATGCTAGCGAATTTAACTACAAATGTGCATCCATCAGTAGTTACCTATCTTGTTGCAAACTTGTAGTAAGATTCTTTCTCGACTAGACCGGTGGAGCTGATATTTGGCTTAAGTATTTACTACAGGTTGAGGCTGGAACATCCAAGAAGAGCAGACCAATGTCAGGTAACATTAATTTTACTTGTTCTTTGAATGATTACTTAGAGATTCAGAAACCATTTCTTACTTTGCTGTTCCCGTGCAGCCAATGCAAATGCACTTAAGTTGAGCTCTAAACTACTACAGATATTTATCTCAGGTATCTACGGTGAAAAATCAGATACTTAATTTGGTGTCTAATATCATTTCCTTCTGTTTTTTGGATAACTTTTTTTAATATGCAGAGGCTGTACAGCGTGCTGCAACAATTGCTGAAGCAGAAGGTATTAGCAGAATTGAAGCCACTCATTTGGAGAGAATTCTGCCACAGTTACTACTGGATTTTTAAGGTAGCATTCCGTTTCACATATTTCAATGTCCTGCTCTTGAAAATTAAGTTCTGGATTATATGGAGCGATTGTTTGGCCTATATTAGTCATT